TCGCGCGGCCGCTCCCGGGTGGGTGTGCGGCCGCCGCCATCTTCCGGCCCCTCCCCCTCGGCCGCGCCGCTCCCCGCGCCGCTCCCCGCGCCCCGCCGCTCTTCCTGTTTGCAACTAGTAACCGAGCGCGCCTCGGGGCGGCTCCGCGCCCGCCGGCCGGGTTCTGCCGACGGCGGGAGGCGTGGAAGTCGCCGCCGGCTTCGCCCCAGAGGCTGTGCGGCTTCAGCACCGGGAGCTGTCCAGCCGAGTATCCGCCCCCGCCAGGTCCCCAGCAGAGATTTGCTCCTGCCCGGCTGCCTGCAAAGGTCTTAGGACTCCCGGTATCTCAGGGACCTCAGGAAAGTCCCTGTCTAAACGTGTAACTTTGCAATGTTCATCTTTGCTTGAGGCGAGTTACTCTAAAAATTAACCTGTGTATGCCTGAAGAGGGACTATTCTGTTTCTCGTCACCACGTACACGGTCACATACTCTCTGTAGAAACACACAATTACAGTGTAGACTTTCTCTGTAACCTCCAGTCGCTTATTTTGAAAACAGGTTGTTGAATTCAGTATTCTTTCACATATGAGAACACTTTGTCTAAATGAACACTTTTCATAGTTTAATGAAACGTATCTTATATAACCTATGGTAGCAAACTTGCATCAAATAGGTATCTTAGGAAAGGTACAACTTCTCACAAAATAATGAAGGAACAAGACAGCAAATGTATTCCTGACATATTAACCGACATTAACAATTGTTTCTTCAGAACTAATTTTTAGGTTTTAATGCTTACTAGGGAATTTGACTTATTAATGGATATAGGATATGAACAAAAAGTTAAGTAATTTAATCGGCTTAAACTATGGACTAATAAGCATAGTCTTAAAAAAGCTTTTGAGCATACTCCTAACAGCTCAACTTTAATGTATATACCAATAGTGTTAACATTTTGATCATTACGATTTTATATTTAGATAGATTTAGATTTAGATATACTTTCCAATGTAGTTGCTAAAAATCAGTGTTGCCAAAATGACGCTCAAGTAAAATATGACTATTTCTTTGACCCACATACTTAAACGGAAATGGTTTTTCATTTATAGTAAATTAAATCATAGTGTTTATTGGTTAGTTAATTTTATGTAGTCTTATGTTTACCGTTTGAAATGTGGACATTTAAGTGAATTTTTGAGTGCTGAATTAAAAATCTCTTAAAATGAACAGTGTATTTTATTGAATAGACATTTAAAAAGAGTTCTCAACTGTGTGTGGACATCTCTAAGTAAACCTACATACTTTGCAAATATGTATGTTTATAAATCTGTTTCACATTATTTAGGTAGGCATATTCTCTAAACATAGCCGTATAATATGTGAAATTACATCAATGAAAAATAATGATTCATATTTAAATACTTATTACATAGAAAAATATCCTTTAAAATATTTTTCAAATGAGGTTAGACAAGAAAACAGAGAATAAGCTTTATAATAGAATCACAGTAACAAGAGGCAAATCATTTTGAAGAATTTTGATACTGTATTAAATAATATGTTCCTAGGGTGTTAAATAACAAATGTGCTTTGTAGGAAAAATGGTACTGATAGTTGTGACTACTCTTTCCCTTGAGGTTTTAGGGTGACTTTTCAGCTCATGACTAAACTGTCTTTTATTTCTCAGCAGTGCTATCATTTATATGTCTGCTAGCATTTTTTTTTTTTTTTCTGAAAGACGATCGTAGACATTCAGATTTACATTTGCTACTTTTTAACTCATGTTAAAAATAAGTTTGATGCGTGAAGAAATTGAAGACTGGCTAACAATTCTTTGTGATCTGTGAGTTTCAGTGTTTATACTAAATACTATGCAAAATAAGATTGTATAGCTAAGGGCCATCACAAGATGATATACTGGAATACAAGGAGAACATATTACAACTTACAGTCCTATCTTTGCTTGAAAAAAAAAAGAGGCTAGGCCCCATTATTACTTAGTATAGTTTAGCTAATACTGAAATGCATATCATTTATGAATCAATGCATACATTAAAAGTTCATGTCTGAGATGTTTTCAAAAAGAGAGGTGAGCTATCAAAACAGGTTGAGGCCACCACACTAAATCCTCTTTTTAGGAGGCCGAATCATTAAAAATGATTTGTACTTCATTATTAGTGATTTCTTTAAGGGCCATGTATACACATACTGAGGAAATAGTCTGTCAAATAGTACTATCTTATATGTGAGTGAGGTACAGTTTTTCAGTGCATTTTTACATCCCACTAACTGCCTGGTTAATCACAAAAACCCAAAGGTCCTTACATGAATTCCTGCAGCAGCTTCAGTTTTGAGTTTTGAGGAGTCATTATTTTGTTGTTTTTGTTCTACAGCATCCTTAACATAATAGGTACTTAGTATGTAATGTTGAGCTGAATTACAGTGCAAATAAGATAGTTCCTCAGTCTGTGGAAAAAAGAGGAAACTTTTTTGAAAGAAAAACCCTTTATCAAAAGTATTTCCATTGTCTTTGTTTTTTTTGGGTTGGGGTGTGATTTAAAATCTCTTTTTGTAAAAAAAAAAAAAGTATCAAGAAGGCAAAACCACTAAAATCAAGTAGAAAGGTATTCAGTATCTATATGTATCATGGTTTTATTACACACCTAACATAGTCTTTTATACAGAATGCTTTGAACACAGAAGTTTTTTTTCTCTCTGTTCTTCTCTTTCTTCCTATTTTTTAAAAACCTTCCTCTCTTTTTCTCCTTTTCTTTCATTTGATAGTATTTTTGAATGTAGCTCAGGTTGGCCTGCACTGCACAGTCCTTCAGCTTTCCCAGTCCGGTATGCTAGGATTGCAGGTATTTGCTCCCATACCTAGCTACTTAGGTATTCCAGGAGGTGTGTATTCTATGATGTCTTCACTCTCAGCTTGCTTCCCAAATAAAGAGAATAAAGCACAGTCATGACAGATTGTTAAAAAGTACATAGTGTATACATACATGAATAGTTAAGAGTGTTTTATTGTGTTTAATTAATTAATTAATTTATGTTTGAGGCAAGTTGTCACTTTGTAGCCCTGCTTAGAACTTGCTCTGTAGGTCTGGAGAGATGGCTCAGTGGTTAAGAGCACTATGTGTTCTTCCAAAGGACCTGGGTTCAACTCCCAGCACCCGCATGGCAGCTCACATCTGTCTGTCACCCCAATTCTAAGAGCTCTGACACCTTCACACTAACACACATAAAAGAAGAAGAAGAAGAAGAAGAAGAAGAAGAAAAAAGGCCAGGTTGGCCTTTGCTTCCCAAGTGCTGGGATTAAAGGTATGTGCCACTATTTTTGGTTAACTTTTTTATCTTATTTGATTTTGTGACAAGGCCCCTCTGTATAGATAGCCCTGGCTGCCGTGGATCTCACTCTGTAGAGCAGGCTGCCCTCAGACACACATGGATTGGCCTGCCTCTGTCTCCTGAGTGCTGGGATCAAACATGTGTGCCACCACATCCGGCTTCAGTATTTTAATGATGCGATTTTATAAGTTGTTTTTAAAGCTAATTTACAAAACTTTATTTAATAGATAATACATACTTTTGCTACAAAATATCTTATTTACCCATCTGTAATTATTGTTACTAGCATATGCTACTAGCTTGCTACTAGCATATGTTAATAGCATATGTTCCATGCACAATATAATCGAGACACAAGAGATGTATGTGTATGTAACTAGGTGTATTTGTATGTGTGTGCACATACATGTATGCATGTTTGTGTATAAACATAAAAGTACAAGTATGTCCTGAGTTTTCCTTTTTTCAAGTGAGTACTGCATTAGGTTAAGTGCCAGTGTCTAGCCCATTTGCTGAATGTTTTGCAGTTTCTTTAACTAATGCTGTACTTTAGGTACTTAAGTTGTTTCTGTTTTGTAGTTTCTTTAACTAATGCCATACTTTAGGTACTTAAGTTGTTTTTGTTTTGCCACTAGAGACAATACTTCAATACATTGTTTTTAATGTAGAGGACTGTATCTCTGGAATAAATTCCTAGAATAAAATTGTTATTTCAAAGAGTCAGTAAATAAATATTGCCGAGTTTAATTTTGTAGAGGAAGTATGTATAAATCACGTATACTGAGTAGACTCTCCTACTTCCTTGCCAAATCAGTGTGTGGTAAGCTTGGTCAGAATTTCAGTAGTAAATATGCCACTGTAGATTTCACTTTCGGGTTTCTTATTATCAATGAGCACCTTTTCTGTTTGTTTAGGATCATTTCTATTTCCTTCACTGTTGGTAATTTTTTTCAGTGTGTTTTGAAGCTCTTTATGTATTTGTTGTGTTAGGACCTTATTCATCCCATCACCCCTTTTTACTGGTCAGGATTTTAAAAATGTGTTCAAACTTAGGACATTTTTCTTCCATGGCTTTTGGTTTTGTGATCAGCTTAGAATTACCTTCTTTATTCTAATATCTGCCTATCTGCCTATAACTTTCTATGTCTTTTTGTACCATAACTTACCAGATAAGAGATACAGTGAAACAAAGAGTTTTAAATAGAGATGATCACTGCACCATGTCAATAGCCATTGCCTTTGCCAAAGGAAAAACCTTTAGTTTTA